AATGTTGAACAGTCTTCATCAAAATGCCAATATTCCATCATGGTCATGAAACTAAAAATCCTTATAATGTTTTATGAAACACAATATGTCCATTTATTGCAAATTATATTAAACTAAAATGGAAGGGAAATAAAAATATGAAGTTTACTACTTGCAAATTAATAACTTTAATTTTTTTACTGATAAAAATCAGAAAGCAACATTTATAAAATTGCTACCACATCACTTTTCATAGCAGGGAACTAAAAATCTGTACACCTCATTTTTTACAGAAAAGTAGACAGGCAGAAATAATTATAAAAAAAAAGAAAAAAAGAAAGAATTATACATAAAAGTTTCCAAAAGGAAAAACAGGGCCAGGAAGATGGCTCAGTAGAATAAGCACTTGCCTGGCAAGCATAAGGACCTGGGCTCAATCCCCGGTTCTGCCAGACAAACGAACAAACAAGCAAGCAAAAGGAAAAAAGAAAAACAAAGACATATGTAATCTGATCTTTTCTTTTCTTTTTTCTTTCTTTTTTTTTTTTTTTTTTTTTTTGTGGAGCCAGGGATTGAACTCAGGCCCTTGCGCTTGCCAGGAAGCACTTATTCTACTGAGCCATCTCCCTGGCCCCTAATCTGGTCTTTTCTTCTAAAAAAAAAAAAATAATTCAGAAGGCTTCTATTTTTCTTGTATGACATGGAAATTCCTGGCTTCTTTTTATGTCTTTTAAGTTCATTTCTACAACCAGAAAAATACAGTTTAATACTGAAAAATAAAAGCATGTAGCTTGTTTTAATATTTGTGCTTGCATCTTCTGAAGAAAAATAAGGAGCAAACTTGATGAAGGAAAAATAGGGCTGAGGAGGCTCAAAGCTAATTCATCAAAGGAGTGGTGTACAGTAATATGTTGTCTAATGTAAACATCAGCGCCAGAAGCAGCAAGGTGTCAAATTAGGCAGTGCCATGTAAATGTGTCATCTGTCATTATGGTTTTTTTTCAAAGTTTTATTGATAAACAGATAGCAATGAGACAGTTTCAAATCAAATCGGAAGCACAGTTTCAACAAATAATACACTGCATATATTCTTCTTAGTGGTTAATTGCTGTACAAGATGCGGACTTGTGATCCTATTTACAAACACCATTAGAACAAATCATTCTATTCATTAAGAGAATGCAACTATATATCTATCCTAACCACTTTGAATACACAGATACAAAATGGACATTCATCGGTATACCCCATTTTTTTTTTAATTTTATTTGTTTATGTGTGTGTGTGTGTGTGTGTGTGTGGCCAGCTCAGCCCACCAGGGGGCGGGGCTGGCTGGCATGTGGTGCTGGGGGATTGAACCGTGGTCCCTGTGCTTTGCTAAGCTTGTTCCAAGTAGGTGCTTTAGACCACTGAACCATCTCACCAGCCCGTCATTATGGTTTAATTTAAAATTTTACAAATGTTGATATCTCTTATTTCAGGTCATTAGCTTCGATGGGTTAGGTTTGTTTTATGTTCATATAGACAAACTTTTTAAGGTTTTGAATCCACAGATAAGTAGTGTTGACTAGTTTGTTTGTTTATTTGTTTATTTTTTTGTGGTACTGGGCATGAAACTTAGGACCTTGCACTTGCCAGGCAGGCATGTAAGCCACTGAGCTATCTCCCAGTCCTAGTTTAAAAGATGCATTTAAAAAATGAAAATTGCCAAGTATCCTATGGGAGAGAATGTGTGAAAGAGGAGCTAGTCTACAAAGAAACCGTGCTTTGTGAGACTGGTTCTGCTTCTTCTCTACTGTGGATGAGTAGTTAAGTCCACATGACTGTTTGGCGCCACAGAAGGTGACAATCGGTGACACCATGAAAGCTTTTTTCTCTCAGCTACTCAGTTGCTGTTCCCAGGATGTATCAGTGTTTAATCTTTTGATAAACTTAGGTATTTTTAACATTTTTGATGGATGATAGCTAATATTTTATATTCTGTTTATATGATTTGGCATGATTTTATTACCATATTACTTTATTAAGATCATATAATTATTGCTCCTTAGCTATTTTCTTATTAGGAATTTGCATTTTTCTGTTTAATTTTCTTGCTATTAGAATTAGCAGATAAGCATATTTGTATAAATAAGGTACTATATTTTTCATTGGCCAGCTAACATTTATGAAATTTTATATATTAAATGGTTATACTTACTATAAACAGTTTTTGCCCCTTTGGAAAAAGGTTACTATATTAATGGTATCACTTAGAATCATTAGGGTGTTAGAATGGTAATATGATTACCGGCGTATGGTAATGTGATCTCCATTCTATGTTGCTAGATTTTTACCACCACAATTGAACTAATTTCAGATTTTATTTGCCCCCCTCTGTCCTAAGTTTAATATGTATGAGATAGTGGTCAACCACAGGTTTACAGAAGGTCAGTGGCATTTGCCATTTTTTTTCCTTTAAGTTTACAAACATCCAGAGTTTTAAACAAGTAGTAATCTTCATCTTTCCTAAAATATTCAGTGTTTCTGGGTCATATTTCCTCACATGTTCTTAAATGTATTTTAAGGTTTTAAAAATGCACCTTAGCCTTTAAAGCGCAACCTATGTAGATAATTGTTAGAAGTTTTGCTCCTTCAAATATGGTAGCGTATATAGCTATGAAATAAACTCATGGACATGCATCTCACTGTTATACTGTCACTGTTTCCACGTGTCCTTACTAGACTATATATGTTTATAAATTTACATCATTTACTTTGGTCGCTATGTTCAGTGCATTGTTGGGACTTACTGTGTATGCTTGGTAACTAATTTTCAAAGCATACAACTATGAATGTGAATAGCTTTTAAAATGTGGTCATCTCTTTCTCTCAGTTCTGTTTTACTAGAGTTTTAGAAAGCCTCATTTTTACACTCAGAAAAATACTTGAGGAATTGTTAAATGAGTAAAATCTCATAAGCTGGCAATTACTTCCAAAGGAGTCCATGAGAGAAGCGAGAGGGAGAGGGAGAGGGAGAGGGAGAGGGAGCTGTGAGGTTGGGGGTGGCATCCAGATCAGAGTGCTCCCCTCTGCAGGATGTTTTAATTTACTAATTATTAAAAACATGAAAGAAATTTGAGTGTATTTAAGCATAATATCCACAATTAACACTTGGCACCCAGGGACTGACACTGTCTGGTGGAGGCAAATTTGGAGGATTATAATAAAAAAAAATTCATCTCTGTTCTTTTCTTCTTTTTCTTTTTAATCTTCTTTAGTTTAGAATATAAAGCACATTTTCCCAAAGATGGTCTTTGTAAGTATTATTTAAACAAGAGATTTCAGGGAAGTAGTAAACTTTTCCAATTGGTTTGGTCCTTAATACTGGCTACAGGAACAGTTATTTGGATTATCATTTTAACATAATTTTTTACCCAGCAATCCTTTTGAAAGTATTGTTTGCTTGGGTTGAAACATTGAAATGTTTCTTCATGCCTGCAGTGTGACAGATTAAAAGAGAGAAACGCAGGCAAATCAACATGTAAAACTGGGTCAGTACGTCATTGGGGGACCTGTGTGAGTTGTAGGAAGCAGAGAGGGGAGAAGTGGAGAGGGGGAAGAGAAAGGGAGGGGGCAGCAAATTGCTGTACTTCCCTGCTTGGTGGACAGAAAGAGGATTAGGGCCCCGGGGAATGCAGGGCAGAAAGCTCCCCTGAAGAGGAAAAGAATCTAGAGTCTGAGTCAGCCTCTGTGGATGCTCAAAGTAGTCAGGGATCACCATTGGAACCCGAGTAGTTGGGAGTTGTAGCCTCGCAGTGGTTTGGAATATGGGCTGAGCCACACTGCTGCCCTATGGAATGGGTCTTGGAAGGCCTTGGACTTTAATAAATGAGAAACGTGGATGCAGGTAGAGCCTTGAAGTGCTGTTGAATATTCTGGGGGCATTGTGTGTAGCATTTTGATACTTGGGGAATGACACCACAATGAGGCCAATATCTCATATTTCACGTGGGACACGTATTACATTTATGATTATGTAATTGTGGTTATATGATTATGGATATTGTATGAATATAGTTCTGATTATATGATGTGAGCAGCCACAGTTTAAAATGAAAATGTAAAATGAGATTTTTTTTTCATTGTATGAAAGGAGATAATATATATTTTATTTTTAAATATCCATGATCATACATACACATCCATTGTCTTGCAGAAACCAAAAAAGGAGTTAGTAGCAGTTATGTTAAACATTCTGAGTTTTTTTTTCCCCCTTCTAGTAGGCTGGTTTCAGATGCAAATATGGTCTGATTATCGAAATTCAAATTTCTGTCACTCACCAGGAGAGAATGTGGAATGTGGCTTTGATCTGAGGGTGTTGTACGCACAGTTAACTACCTGTGCCACTTCTCACTTTGCCCTCAAGAATTCTTCTAGTTTTGTCTTGAAAGCGTACTGAGCGTTTTCTTTCCAGACTCCCTCCTGTTGTGTCAAACTGGCTGCAGTTTGGTTCGGGCTCAGACATTTGAGGATCTGAACCGGGGTAGTCTTATCTTGCTCAGGCTTCTGGCACCTCTGTGAGGCCAAGTGAGCAGGTTAGCAGGGTGGAGAGGATGTGCTAAGAGAAGAGCAGAACGACTGTAGATCGGAATCCTAGCTCCAGGGCGTAAAAGATACCAGTCTCCTAATTTTTCTCTCCCTTTCATTGTGGGAGAACCTGCCGCCAGCCACATCTGGCTTCACTTTTGTTTTCCAAATTGGGTTTATTAATTTTGTTGTTTTAAATGTGCTTGGGGTGATCTTGGAAAGACTGGTCTGAGGAGCAATCTTGACATTTCAAATAGAAACAAACCCAGCCTTCAAATGACCCGAGACAAACTTTGGGAGCCCCTCAGGCGTCAGCTAGAGTGTGGGGCTCTCGCTGCTCTACAAAGAGAAGTGTAAGGATGGTTAGAATCAGAGGCTTTGCTGGGGTGTTCCGCTTACACTGCCATAGGCTGTCTTGTGGGAATCACCTGTTTCTCCTCCCTTGCCTGCAGGCTGGAGGCTCCCAGGTCATCTTTACCAACCCACTGGAGATTGTGAAGATTCGCCTGCAGGTGGCTGGAGAGATCACCACAGGACCCAGAGTCAGTGCGCTGAATGTGCTCCGGGACTTGGGGCTTTTCGGTCTGTATAAGGTGGGTAGATACCTTGGGCCATCGCGGAGTGTGTGACGTATGATGTATCCAGAGCTAATGTGTAAGAAGGCGGAGGAGATCAGGCCTTTCTGCCTGCCCCAATTAGAGAAGCATTCTTGTCCCCGTGTATCCATGGCGAGAAAATCAGACAGAAAATAAAAATGAGGACTTTCTATTGAGGGCGGTGGGGTACAAAAACACAGATTCCTCTTTTGTCATCTTCAGCTTTTCTGAAGCTGCAGGATTTGAGCCTTAGGTCACAGCCTTTCACTTGATGAGTTTGGGAAAAGTTTTTTGTGTGCTCTCTGGCTGGGCTTAGAAGTTTACAGTAGTCATATATTTTGAGTCAGAGTTATCTCTATTGTTATCTTCCCAGTCGGAGTTTTCCTTTGTCTTAATAATTTGACGACAGTAAAACAGTAGTTGAGTTTGGTAGGCTTCAGGTCTTTAAGAAGTTAAGTGGTAGGATTTGTCAATAATGAATTCCATTAAAACATGAACAACAACAGTGTACTGTACTTTAGCAAAATGCCCGTCAATAGATTCCTTCCCTGCAGGTCTACTCGCTGCCGTCATTATAGATCAGATGTAATGGAGCAGAAGCTATTATTTTTCTTAAACAAGAAAGGACGTTGCTTATCATTCCTTTGCCTGGTATAAGAGAGAATACATAAATTTAACCACTATAGGCAACTCACTGTTTCCCAGAGCATCTGATTTATTTATAGCTCTATCACAGCAGAAATGTTGAAATTTGCTTCTGTATCTGCAAGTTAGAAATTAGAAATTCTCCAGATTAGAATCACACAGCTGCTGGGCGCTCTGGAGACCACGCGTCTCACTGGAGAGTTCTGTGCATGCTTGCCCCCTCCCGCATTTCCATTATTTTTGGAATTTTTTTTGAGAGCTGAATTTACACACATTGTTTCTCTCTGTATTTTCCTTTAGATTTCTTGGGACATTTGTTTGTTTTGTTTATCTTTTAAGAACGGTGCCCTGGTGGAGGGGGAATGGGTGGACCATGCGGTAGGGAACCAACTGCCAGGGTCTACTACTTGCCTGGATTGGGAAGGCCCTGGCAGTGCAGTACCATGTGCTGCTGACTAGGCAGGGGAGGCGTTCATTGTGACCTCAGTCACAAGCGAACGGTGTTTCTTCCCTTGGTGGTTTTCCACTCCTATGGAAAACTCCTGCTGAAGTATTTGTCTGGGTTTTCCCCAATCCTTTGCTATTTAGGATATGGTGAACAAAGACGAGAGAGAGAGAGAGAGAGAGAGAGAGAGAGAGAGAGAGAGAGAGAGAGAGAGAGGTGGTAACAGGGGTTGTTTTATTTTCTTTTTTGAGACAAGGTCTTGCCATGTTGCCCAGGTTAGCCTCAAACTCCCTATCCTCTCAGCTCCCCGCCCCCGTAGCGATTACAGGCATGCAGTGCCTCACCCCTGTGGTGTCTCTGCCCCCTCACCTAGGATAGTTATCCCCTCCCCCATTGCTTCCTCCGGGCACTGCAGAGACTCCACTGATACGAGTTGATAATGTGTTCATTTTGGGGGGCTCTCTTTATGACTCCTATTAATTTTGGGACTTGTGGTCACTCTCTCCTTCCCCTGATTCCCTCAGCTCCCTTCCCTACCAAAGCCCTGAAGGCTTGATGGTGTTTGTTTTTGGCAGAACTGGGGATTGAACTCAGGCCCTTGCGCGTGCCAGGCAAACGCTTATTTTACTAAGCCCTCTCTGTGGCCCCAGCCCTGAAGGCTTGAGAATTGAATTTTTTATTAATATTGAAAAACTGACTCTAGTTTAATGACTATAGTTTCAGGTGTAGGTATGTGAAATTAATCATCTGTGGAAATCCACTATAGAGCACTGTGCATCTAATTAATATTGCACTGCACTATTAAAAATTTAAGAGGGTAGAGCTCATATTCTGACAATAAAAAAAAATTTGATTGTTTTAAAAATCCTGAATCTCATAAGAAAAATGCTAGTGCACTTTTGCCTGAGAAGTCTAGGGCTCCAGGACCTGGGATCCAGCTCCTTTTGCAAGCCTGGGGTCATGCATGTTCCCCTGTGCCCCCTGGGTGTCCCCCACATCCATTTCCCTTCCATATCAGTTCCAGTGCTGTTTGAGGGACACCTCAGGCCTGTCACTGCCAGCCCGTTGGTCCCATTTGGGCATTTCCACTGTTTACACACTGTTTTGCATTATTTCCTCCCCATGTGACAGGGTGCCAAAGCGTGTTTCCTCCGAGACATTCCCTTCTCTGCAATCTATTTTCCTGTTTATGCTCATTGCAAACTCCTTCTCGCTGATGAAAATGGACACGTGGGAGGTATAAATCTCCTGGCAGCTGGAGCTATGGCAGGTAACAGCAGAATTTTTTTTAACTAGAAGAATCCTCCTTCTGATACTTTTCCTCTTTATTTCTGGAATAGTTATTGTTTGTGTCTTACTTAGTTAAATATGATTGCTTTTTCTCCTTTGTGGGATGTGCTGTAATTCTGATGAGAGTTAATTACATTTGCATAATGTGGATAAACAGCTTAATGCAGCTTTGCAACTTGGAGCCAAATTAGATCTGCCTATCTAAATTGGGCTTTCATCATTAGCATGTTCCTTAGCCTCTGTGCCGTGCGACCTTGGGGGCAGCCAAGCCCAGCGTTACGGGGAAAAGTTCTCATCAGATCATTCGCTTTGTTGTATACATCATGCTGATGCGCAGCTCTAGCGTGTACCTTCAGTTTTTCCACCGTGGAGTCTCCATGATTTGGTTCAAAGTTAGGCTTTCTTCAGAAAGCTGTCTGTGTTCTTCCTGCCATAGCCCTTGAGACCCAAGTAAGCAAATCACCCTTTGCTTGATCTTCATAGCTCTGACTCTTTGCATTTTGTTTGCTTACATTTTCTCCTCTGTACTAGGCTGAGAGCCACTCAAGGACCCAGTCAGTTTCACTCTGTTTATCCTTGTCTCCCCGATGTGGCCAATGTAGTGATACCAGGAACTGAGTATTGTCAGTGGAATAAGTAAAAAATCTCTACCTAGTCTAGGATTCTTGATAAGGCATGGAAGAGATTCCATTTGAGACAGGAGCCTAGCAAATACAGGAAGGTGCAGAGTACCTCAGTGAGGCCTTAAATAAAGGTCTCCCTCACAGGTGTGGCCTTGAGTTTAGAAAGAGGCAGTTGGATGAACCAGGTGGCCTTGGTTGTCACAGCTGGAAATTCAGCATTGCCGCGCTCAGCACGCTGCTGGTCAGCTGGGCGCATGTTCCCTACTTGGCTCTTATTTTCCAGCTTTGTTCTCTGCTGGTAACTTCGGCTGCACAGCAAGACCCCTACCTTCCTCTGAAACGTGGTGCTGGGTGTGTGGGGAGCTCTTGGCTCTGAGTGTGTTAAGGCAGACGTGCTGCTGTTCTTGTATGTGATGACAGAGGAGCATGGAAAAAGTTTTAAAGGCTCCCTCAGAGAGCTCTAAGCCCTTACTTAGGGTCCAGAAACTTCCCTGTCCTCCAGCATTTGATATTTTGGTAAAACCAGTAAAATTTCCCGCTCAGTCTCATCAGTGAGCGTTCATCCAGCCCCTATGTCTGGTCCTCAGCCAGCATTCCTGTTTAAATGGGAACCACCATTTGCCAGTCACACCAAAAAAAGGAGAACAAACCCACCAGAGAGGAGCCGTCTAGTCAGGAATAGGTATTTTGTTAGTGGTTGACAAAATAAGCGAACGTTTTGCAAGTTAGTACCAACTTTGTTCTCCCAGCCATTTGCTATCTTCCCAAAATGAGAGATGAATAATTTTGGGGTCTAAAACTTTGCCGTCCAGTGTCGGGAACATCCCAACTCCTGCCCCACGAGGCAGGCAGCTTGCCTAGCTCCACCTACCTGGGGTACAGGGGTGTAGGGAAGGGGGGCGCTTTGCCTAATCTCTACTGGAGCCCCCACGAGGCCACCACTTCCATTTGCCTGGGGATGATACAGTGATATTTAGGCCAAATTGAATTTCATCCCCTTGGGGAAGGTTGTGGTGCTCCGTTTTGCCCTGTTTTGTTTTATAAGTGAAAGGTGTAGTTGTGAAATCCATCTTCTGTGTCCTGCTGCTGATCAATCTCAACATGGCCCCAGGGAGCTCAAGCGCAGGGCATAGATGAAAAGGCCTTTTGTGATCATTGCTGCTTAACTGGTTGCGCGGCCTCTTTATGCCCCAGCTGTGATGGCTCCTGTCATGTAAGCTGTCTGAAAGAATTCACAGTCGCCTCGCCTCACAAGGTAGCCCCTCCAACAGGTGAGCAGTTGTTAGGAGTGCTGTTCACCTCCATGGTGTGGTGGACAAGAACCAGCAAACCAACGAAAAATCACTACAATTAGAGGCCAGATTTGTTCAGCAGCTTATTAACTTGACATTATCCTCTTAACATTTATACATGATAATACTTGTATCTTATTAAGGGAGAAAAAAAGCAGGCAAAATAATTGAATCTGAAAGAGAACACGGAGGAATTGTATTGACATTCTTCATTTCCCGCCCCCCAGATGCATGCAATGTAGAGTGATTTTCTTCATTCAGAAAGGAAACAAAATAATTCTACCCTGATCATTACTGAAGCAAGTAGTAGGCACCTTGAGGTCCTTTTTTCATTAGTGCCTAGTCATCAGCTGAAGGAGTTCTGTGTTCCCCTCAGGCGGTTAAAGCAGCAGATCGTATCCTTAGCTATCGCGGTTTTTCTAGCCTTTATGAATTGCTTGGGATGAGTTAACTGTGTCTTTGTTCTGCAAGGTGTGCCTGCTGCTTCTTTGGTGACCCCTGCTGATGTCATCAAGACAAGACTGCAAGTGGCCGCTCGCGCTGGCCAGACAACATACAGCGGTGTCATTGACTGTTTCAGAAAGATCCTCCGGGAAGAAGGGCCCTCAGCATTTTGGAAGGGGACTGCAGGTAAGGGCTGGGACACAGAGCGTGGCTGGTGCATTAGCGTCCTGTGCCCTGAGACCTGCTGGTGCCGCTATCATCCTGGTTCTAACACAACCCCATCCTCACCCCTCTATTTCAGCTCGAGTGTTTCGATCCTCACCCCAGTTTGGGGTTACTTTGGTCACCTATGAACTTCTCCAGCGGTGGTTTTACATCGATTTTGGAGGCCTGTAAGTGCAGCTGCTCAGTTCCTTTACAAAGAAGTCACTAAACCCAGAACAGATGCTTATTGTGTTCACAAATAAACTTAGAGAAGATTCGAAGAGATAGAATCCTTTAATGCTTTCAAGGTAGTGGGTTTAAATGCTTCAGTGTTAATGAGATTAAAACCCTAAAGAATGATAAAATACACAACTATGGTACATTATATATATATATATATATATATATATATATATATATATATATATATGCTATTATATATATTAAGCAACTAGTTGGGAAACATTTAGGGAGGTAGCAAAATGTTATGAGTAATTTTTATTATTATAAGAAAATACCAAACTTTATGGAGTTAGTCCATATTACATGGATCTTATTGTATGACCTTTTCACTAGAAGTAATGTAAATGTGCATGGGTAATTCTCTGGTGAATTCTTTCAAAGATCCAAGCACTTTTGCACCTTTGATATTTCATTATTCACTATTAATCATTATTAAGTATATAGATAGATAGATAGATAGTCATGGAGCTAATGTATTACCAAAACCCCAGTTGTTTCATAGAGGTTCTGCCCATGGACATAATCGTTGGCAGTGTATAGGCCACACCTAGGGCTGTGTGAAGCCTTGGACTCACAGCTTACACTGAAGAGAAGAAAAATTATTTAATTTTCAAGTTAAAGTGAAGTTGTACCCAAAAGCTAGCAATTAGTACCTTTTCAGCAGAAGACCAAATACTGTTTCTGGTTGGCATCTCATAAACCTGGGAATCCCTCTCCTGCTCAAAGGAATTAGCTATTGATTGGTGAGGAAACCATACAAAAAAGAGAACAGTAGTCTTCCTTACATGTACAGTTAAGATTCAGGATTTCTTGGGGCCAGGGAGTTGACTCAGTAGGATAAGCGCTTTCCTGGCAAGTGCAAGGGCCTGAGTTCAACCCCTGGTTCTGAAAAAAAAAAAAAAAAAAAAGATTCAGGATTTCTGTGCTTCCATATTCTGTGAAAATAAAAACTCAATCCATTTCTCTTTCATTTTGGTGATAACTTTTAGGAGCCTACTATTTGAAAAAATTAACTATTGGTCAGAATAAAAGAAATACATATTTTTGTGGTTAATTTCATATATGCTTACTACAGAAAAATTGGAAAATAGGTAGAAAGGAAAAAACCCACAGTGGTACTACCCAAAGAATGCACTTTCTTCTGCTCCTCCTCGCTTTTGTGTCCTGTCTATTTATACCCGTACGGGCACATATATTTGTATATGTATATATGCATAAGCACATATGGATTTATATCTCCCATTTTTCATCCAAAACAAATATGTAAATATGGTGCTTTCAAAGCAGTTATTGGGGCTGACCAAATAGCTCAGCAGATTGAAGCACCTGCAAGCAGGCACAGGGACTGGAGGTTAGATTCCAGGCCTGCCCGTGCCAGCCACCGCCACCACTCCCTGCCGGGGGCCCACTGAGACAGCAGTTGAGCCTGGGCGTGGTGGTGCATGCCTGTAATCCCAGCACTTGGGAGGCTGTAAACAGCAGATCACTATGAGTTCGATCTAGTAGTGAGATCCTGAACACCTTGTAGACCCTTCCTTAAAATACAAAAAATAAAGCAGTTATCAGTCACAGCTAGTGCAGCAGCTAGGTGGACAAAGTGGAGGCACGTGGGGCAGGCTGAGTGTGGAGTCGCAAGGCGCCATCCCCGCCTTCAGCATGCTAACCCTGGGCTTTTTCCCACCAACAGCAAGCCCTCTGGCTCAGAACCAACACCCAAGTCACGCATCGCAGACCTTCCTCCTGCCAATCCTGATCACATCGGCGGATACAGACTTGCCACAGCCACTTTTGCTGGCATTGAAAACAAGTTTGGCCTTTATCTTCCCAAATTTAAGTCTCCTAGTGTTGCTGTGGTTCAGCCAAAGGGGGCGGCAGCAGCGGCTCCATGATGCAGTGGGCGACAGAGTGGCAGAGTGGCACCGCGAGGAGAGGCAAGAAGAACAGTCCTGTGATGTATCCGGTCAGCTGCATGGTGCTGGCTGAGCGGGGAGTCAAACTATTCTTTCTCTAGGACATATACATATATTTGTTTATAAAGTAATCATTTGCCCAGGGGAAAAAACCACAAGGCAGTCTCAAGCTTTAGTCTTATTTGTTGAAATATTTTCTAAGCCGTGGCATGAATTAGTGTTCTAGCCCCTACTCTGCCCAGCTTGTCCTCCCAGTGACTGTACATATTGTACATCTTTGTACAGACATCTCGGCACCTCATCCCAGCCAATCACATTTATAGAATGTAACAATCGGAGTGGCTTAAAATGTACAGAATGTTTTGAAAGTGTTTTATTAAGAGTCACATAAGAATAAATGTATTTAAATCTCTTATTGGTGACTTACGGAAATAAAGTGTCAATATTGGATGTACTTAATTCCTAGTTTGTTCTCTATTCTGGAGTGAGAAGGGATTTGCTGATAAAAGTCATACTGCGAGTGATGCATCGGTGATACTGCAGCAGAGTGTAGCCGTCAGCTCCTGCAGCACTGGGCTGCTAACTCCCGTGGCTGATGTGTCGCTCTCTGTACTTAAAGAGCGTGTGATCCTCTCTGTTGGTCACAAAGCACTTCTGGGACAGTGCCTCTCAGTGGGTGGAAACCAGGTGGTCTCCAGCATTACTTGTTCATTTTGCTTTCTTCCTACACGGCAAGGCAAAGGCCAAGGATATGTAAAGTAAAGGATACGTTGGCAATCTCCTTTCAGATGGTCTGATTCCAGTTGAAAATGAAGCACACCAAAATGTATGCATGTAGTTGGATTTTTCTTTTTCTTTTTTAAACATTTATTTGTGTGTGTGTATGTGTGTGTGAGGGGCAGCTCAGCCCACCAGGGGGCGGGGCTGGCTGGTATGTGGTGCTGGGGGATTGAACCGCGGTCCCTGTGCTTTGCTTAGCTTAGCTTGTTCTAAGTAGGTGCTTTAGACCACTGAGCCATCTCACCAGCCCCCTGGATTTTTCTTTACGAATACATTGATAGTGCTTTCTGTACCGACTCACCACTGATTCTAAATAGCACACAGTCAGGTTTGCCTTCTCTCCCACCTTTATAGGAAATAGTTTGGTTTGGAAAGTTCTAGGATGGAGGGAGGGAAGGAAGAAGAAAGCAAAGCGCTTTGGCAGTGATTGCGTGGGGTCTAGGTCTTCAGGAGACCATGTGAAAGCTACTTATTCTGCAAGCCATTCACCAAGGGTGTGGTTATTAATTTGGACCTGAACATGCATTTTCACAGCACATTTAGGTTTATTGTTTTCCTGTGGATGTGACTTGATGTGGCGCATCGTCGTTTATTTACGTCAGTGAAGTGACCTGGGAAACACTGCCCTTGCCTGCGAGCCAGTATCAGCGTGTATGCGGGATCTCAAGGGGGCAAGCGCGGAGATGGAGTCACTTAGTGGACTGTGACAGCCCTGTAACCAACAGAACCTCTTAGGGCCTCTGAGAACATAAGACTTCACTGTGAAAGCAAGTTATTTCCAAATGTATTCCATTAGTCTCGTTAGAATGGAACAAATCATACTACTGTTTTGCTGTGCCACTTGTTAAAAATATTCAGTGGTCTGGGGCTGGGATACAGCTCAATGGCACAGTGCTTGCCTGGCAAGTGTGAGGTCCTGTGTTCAATTTCTGCTCTTCCACATACAATGGTCCGTGGATAGGTAATAACATACAGTAATAAGAGTGTGTAATGAGTGAGGCTGGAAAGTGCCCTCATAGCCCTCCTCCCCCACTGCTTCCTGCTCAAGTCAGTGCTGAGAGGTGAGAGTACAAATTTAAATCTGTAGTCTGTTTATATGAGCTTTATAAATATACATATATGATTGTATTTTTAAAAGCAGGCTATGTGTGTTACTCTTACTGAGTGTGTCTCTGAGACCTTCCAATGTCAGTTTGTAAAAAACTGTATCATTCTTAAGAGCTGCATAGTATTTCCTTGTGTGACTTATGAATTTTTATAGTTTCCTTTATTGACATTTATTAATATTTCACCACTACAAACAATGCTGTAGTAAATGAAAAACATCTTTGTACATTTTACACAATGCAGTGAGGCTATTGCTCAGAAATGAAAACTTTGAGATACCTGGCAGTGTGGCTCAGGGGTGAGTGCCTCTGGGTTTTGCCCCAGTACGACCCCCGATGATGATGGTAACCTCTGTGCAGCCACCGGTCCAGGAGGTCGCGCCTTCCCGACACTTTGGAAGTCCTCTGTGGCTCTTCTCCACTACAACCCCTCTCTCCACTTCAGTCCCCTCTCTGCTCTTCATTTCTGAGCCTTTCTTTGCAGTTTCACTGCTCACATAAACCCTAAGCATCCACGTGCTACCTATTTTTGAAACTTGTGGGAGAGCAGCCAGAAAGGTTGAGGGCCAGCTGGCCTGGTGGGGGGTGGGTGGTGAGTGGTGGTGATCTGCTGCAGGAAGCAGGGAGAAAAGCCACCAGCCACCTTGTTGTTTACCCAGAAAAGCGCCTGCTTTACTGATGGCTTGTGCCCTGACCTGAGTGAAGAAAGAAGTGTGCCTGCCACTCGGGGCTCTTTGTTGAAGGGAGACATGACCCTCCCCCTATATTTTAACCTATTCTGGGCCTCTGTGTTTCACCTTCATCACAGCACGGTGAGGTACAAGGTAGGTGGCCCCCCGCAGCGCTTATATTATCAAGTGATAAGCATTATGTTTGTAAGATTCATTCATATTGTTGTGTGGCCATAGTCTATTCCATTGTATGGATGTAGTAGAATTTATTTTCCATTTTACTCTTGATGGATGTTTGTTTTTTTCCAAGTTTGAGGCTACTGTAGACAGGACAGTGCTGCAGCGGGTTTTGTGACCATGTGTTGCGGAATCTACGTCTGGAAAGGAGTATGTTCTAACAGTGGAACCACAGACAACAGGTCTGTTAGAATCGAATGTTTTCTGAAAAAAACCGGTAGGTATAAATTGGAATTTTTTTTTTTTTTTTTTTTTTTTTTTTTTGGCAGAACTGGGGATTGAACTCAGGCCCTTGCGCTTGCCAGGGAAGCGCTTATTCCACTGAGCCATCTCCCCAGCCTTTTATTCTGGTTTTAATTAACATTTTCCTTCTATCAAATGAAGTTGAACACCTTTCATGTTTATTGGCAATTTGGATTTGGTCTCTTGTAAATGAAGAACATGTTAAAAAATTTCACCTGTTTCTTACTAGGTTGTAGGATGGTTATTTATTCCGGATGCTGTAAATTGTTCATACTGCAAAATCTGCTTGTGTTGTGGCTTATCTTCCCAGTGTTTTTGATAGATTGACATTTTGATTTTAATATGTTCAAACACATCAACTTTTTCCTTAAGAGCAACTTATTTTGCATTTTATTTTTTAAAAATTTCTCTGGTCAAAAATGTAGTTAGTGATTGCCTAATTAAATACTGTGTGTTTTTTGACTCACGCATTTTTTTATTTTTTGCTTTGTTGTTGTTTCTTTTTCTTTTTCTTTTTTTTTTTTTTTTTTGAGAGAGGGACTCACCACATCGTCCAGGCTGACCTTGAACTTTCTATGCAGCTGAAGGTTTGGCAGAACTAACTTTCTATGCAGCCTTGGACTCATTACAGCCCTCCTACCTCAGTCTCCCAAGTGCTGGGATTATAGGCGTGCACCACCTAGCTCCATCGCCTCTCTTTTTGACTTGGAAGTGTCTCTGGCATAGAGCGTGAGGTAAGGGTCACTTCTCCAGCCAGCCTACTGGTCAGCATGGTTTATTCAAAAGGCCTCTTCCTGACAGCTTTGAAGCACCTCACTGGTATGGTAAGTGTCAATATATGCTAAACCTATTTCTGAGCTCTTTGTTTTGTTATGCTGGTCTTTTTCTGTGCCAGTCTACACTTTCTTCACTATGGTATTCATTCTTTGTATTGTTCTTTTTATTCTCTTTAAAATTAAAAAAAAAAAAGAAATTTTTTTATGTATTTGGTACAGGGTCTGCAGGGTCTCACTATGTAGATCAGACTCGTAGTGATCTGACATTTTAATTTTAAGCCTCCCAAGCGCTGGGATTACCGATGCATGCCACCATGCCCAGTCTCAATCGCTGTCTCAGTGCGTCCCAGGGGCAGGGCCAACATGGCATGCTGGGAATCGAACCCTGGCTGCTGAGTCTGCCTAAGCAGGCACATTAATCTGCTGAGCTATTTGACTGGCCCTAAGTAATCTTTACCTATCCAGAAAAAAAATTCTGATCTGTAGTCTAGCAAATGTTTTCATCTTGTTAGAAGCTGCTTACCTGTTTCCACCCAACAAACAGTGAAAATTTAGAGTTCCTGTGATCCAGTTTGGAAGAATTTATATCATATTTGTAATGAGAACTTCCAAGCCATGAGCCTATTTCTCTGTTTAAATTTCCTTAGTGTCTTTTTTTTTTTTTTTTTTTTTTTTTTTTTTGGCAGAACTGGGGATTGAACTCAGGCCATTGCACTTGCCAGGGAAGCACTTATTCCACTGAGCCATGTCCCTGACCCCTTCTTTAGTGTCTTAATAAAGTTTTGTGATCACCAAAATGTCTTGTGAACCTTTTTATACTCTGAAATATGTCATATATTTGGATGGTATTATAAATTATAGCCCTTCAAATGTTATTTTTGGAATGAAAGAAAAAAGTATATCCTGACTTCACTATCCAGATTTTCAGATGGATAGAATAGTTTGAAGAGGTAAAATGAATTCTTTCAATACCTCTCTCCTAAGTCCCCTCATTTACACTTTCCCCCACATACTTCATGACTGTATCAGTACACGTCTCTGAATAAGGACATTCTCTAGCCAAGCGTTAGAGTTAGTCCAGCTTCCACCAACTACTCCAACAACGTCTTCTGCTCCAGTTAAATCAATGAATCATGCTTGGGGGTTAAACACCTTTAGTAGATAGCTCTGAAATAGTCCTGCCATTTGATAGTATTTTTCATTACCTCGTATGCTAATTGTCTAATAGAAGGCCTCATAGGTTTATCTGAGTGTTTTCTAGCGTTACCTGACTCATTCTAGTACTGTAGACTGGAAGTTGGTCTGGCAGTATAATTTTCCCCTTTCCTTTCCTTTCCTTTCCTTTCATTTCTTCCTTCCCCACTCCTTGCCTTCCCTTCCCTCTTCTTTTTTCCTTTCCTTTTCCCACAGGTTCTTGCCAAACCACCCAGGCTAGCTTCTGACCTGGATCATCTTGCTTCAGCCATCCAAGTAGCTGAGATTATAGCAGGCACCATCCTGCCCATGTAGCTTTTCTTTCCAATCCTACTGAGATTTTCTTTACTGAGCTTTGTAACCATCACTACAATCCAATCTTGCTACACTTTTATGACCTCCCCAAGTGTGAAATGTTTCATTTTATATTTCCAGCATTAA